GGGTTTAGGGTTTAGGGGTGTGTGTTCAAAATTTGGCCATTCAACCTTGGCGGTTAGAGGCTTGGGGGTTAGAGGCTTAGGGCGTGTTTGACTGTTAGTAACTGTTGGTTCACGGTTTAGAATTTGGCTGACTCTTTGAGCTGGAGGGTGTAACCTCGTGAAACGGCGATCTCTTGACTGTCGCCACTGTCGACGTTATGTTCGAAACCCGACACTCAGACACTAAACCCCTCAAGCCTAAAACCATAAAGCCCTACTGGATTGCTAGTGTTATTGTTCTTATTATACATGTAGTTTTTAATCATTATCATAGATTATCATCAGTATTATGATTATTATTTCAACTTAGATTAAGCTGCAGCAGAAATTGCTCGAAGTGTCCTTCTTACTTGTCTCCTGGTCCTTGAAGTGAGGATGGGAATTCATGGGTATAGAGGCTAAGTTGTGCCCTTTCAACGTTGTAAGCCAGCCCTACAGACCCAAGTCCTATAGCCCGTGCCTAAACACCACAGGCCCTCAAACACCGATAACTTCCATAGTTCTGTCTTCTTAGCTCATGCAGCGTGGAACAACTAAAGTCTGTACAACGCCTTTTTTACGGCCAACGTCAGGCATATGAGTTCGTCACGCACACAAAATACTAAGTATGGCATAAGCCTAAACCATTACTAATGTTATTTTTCTGGGGTTCCTTGCTATATCTATACCATGTTCACCGTCTGTCTTACTGGTATTGAAGGAAGAGTGGAGGACGGAACATCGAGACTGCAAGAAGGATTGTACAGGGACTGCAATCAGGGGTTGTATCGGGACGATAATAAAGGATTATATACCGTAGGAGCTTAAATAACTCCCGATTCTATTTTGAGGGTTCCTCCTTATCAGCATAGTATAGTCTAGTAAAACAGACTTATTCTACTTGTTCAGGCCCCTATATCTTTGAACCCTCAAGCGCTTATACTCTTGAAGGGAACCCTTTAAGGGAACCCTATCCTAATTAGTAAGGCCCCTACATCTTCGAACAGGGCCAGCTTCGCTGAAGATCTCCGATCCGTCGGGGGCTTAGCTTACTGTAGGGTTTAGGGTTTAGGGCCAGGAGGGGTTTAGGGTTTAGGGCTGAGATTAGGGTTTAGGGTTTGGAGTTTGATTAGGGCAGTTTAGAAATTCTGGGTTCCAGGGGTAAAGGGTTTCAATGGGTTTTGATAGGTTGTTAGCAGGTTTCCGATAAGGCCTGACACGGGCCCTTTTTTTTCTTTTTAAGGTCTCTACGAGTGTTTTTTTAATACATGGCGGCTTTATGGGTTTTGCTCACGGCCTCTTAAACCCTAAACCCTAAACCCTAAACCCTAAACCCTAAACCCTAAACCCTAAACCCTAAACCCTAAACCCAGTATGGCTTCTGAAGGTGTGACATCCGTTTGTTTTACGAGTCGAGGCTTAGGGTTTCAATTGCCGGTTAGGGTCTGGAACTTCCGGTTGAGATTTGGGAGTTTCCGAAAATTGGGGGTACCAAAAAGTGGGGTCCTTATAATAAGGATCCTACTATTTAGGGTACTATATTAGGGTCCCCTATTTCGGAAACCCCCATTTTTTTGGGGGAAGCATGGTTCACTAAGTTCCCCAATACCCAACCTTTAAACTTTTTGGGCTCTTATAATTTAGTGGTAATCTGAAAGTTTAACCTTTATTTCCTGGCTTACTCGACAAGTAAGTTCATAGTCATCGCAGCTATAGCAAGAAATAGCAAGCAGTGACGAAGCGCTGAGGGTCTGCCCTCGACACGATCATTGAATCCCATCTCAACCGTTTTTGGATTGACAGGACAGTAAGCTATATTTGCTCCATCAATGGGTTCACGGAATAGGCCACCCGAATGGCAACGGGCTCAAGGTCGCGCTATTGATAGTGGCCATGAACTCCCACCTTCGGGACTGATGTGCTTCCCTGTGCACGACGGGGGGGACATGTCTCAGGTAGTTTCGGAAAAGACACTATGATATGCTATACTATGCGGTAATATGCTGTAGTATACTATATTACCGGAAAAAGATACTATAATATGCTACAATATGCTTCTTTTTACTATAACATGCTGTAGTCTACTATATTATGCCATCTCGCGAAACGGCCAGAGTGCTCTGCGCTGCAAACCCCTGGTTCTCCTTCGGTCCTGCGGACCTGGGTCAATCGACATCCTCTTCTCCAAAAGGGATAATTCTTTGAATTGGTTTAGGGTTTAGGGTTTAGGGTACTTAAAGGATCATGGGACTTAGTAAGTAGGGTAGTAGGGTTATAACGAAGGTAACTATACTTATATCCCCAATTGAGGGACTTATAACCTTACTTACTAAGTCCCATGACCCTCCAAGTAGTGTCCATTGAGTAAAGGTGTCGTACTAGTGTTGGGACCTAACAGGGGACGGACCCGAATTTGGAGAATTACGCAAAACCTAAACGCAGCCTGGGATTCTGTCCCTGCCCGAAAAGCCTTCCTAATATGGGAGCCCCAATTATTGCCAACGCTCGTCCCTGCGGCTCCGTATTATTATCGGACAATAATTAGTCCGGAGTGCGGCAGAAAGGCGCCTGACGCAGCCGCCAGAAGCGCTCCGGGTGGCTTGTGTTCACGGTAGAAAGCCTCGGGATGTAAACCCACCCGCTCCCAGAACAAGAATTTCTATACTAGCCTTGAAGAGCCAGCTACAGCTGACTAAAACAATTGTAAAACTCCATATTTTCGACAACTTAGAAATCTTGCTGAAGCACCATAACCCTAAACCCTAAACCCTAAACCCTAAACCCTAAACCCTAAACCCCCGACATCCCTCCGAGCCGAAGATCTCCAAGAACTCCGAGGTTGGGGCGTGCTGGCCCGGACTCCTTCTATGGGGTCTCGAAGATTTGCGGTGAGGCGACGTAGGCTGTAGGGTTTAGGGCTTAGGCGGTTTAGGGTTTAGGGTTTAGGGTTTAGGGTTTAGGGTTTAGGGTTTAGGGTTTAGGGTTTAGGGGTTCGGGCTGAAAGGGTTTAGGGACTTGGGCTTAGGGATTGGGGCTGATGGGGATTGAAATTCAGGCTTTTCATGGCTCAGGGCTTTGGGTTTAGACCTGTTTTTGGTTCAAGAGTTGATCGGCTCCTTTAAGATAAGAGTGCTGTTCAGTCTTGATCATGGGTCTAGAGTCTACAGTGTATTGTTGGGTTCTAGCGTGGTGATCGAATAAGGAGAGCGTTAGTACTTGGAGGTTCATGGTTAGGGGTTATAAGTATGGTTACCTTACTTATAACAACCCATGAACCTCCAAGCAGTAAGGGCTTCAAGCTTTTTTCAAGGGCATGTCAGGCTTGGGTTCTTTTCGTTCAGAGCCAGGGTTTCCGGGTTTGGGGTTGGGGGTTCAGGATGTTACCCTAAACCCCTAAACCCCTAAATTTTAAAGCCCTAAACTCCTAAACACCAGAAACCCCTAAACCCCTAGTTGCTGGAACCCGTGTAAGGGACCTGTATCCGTCCCAGACTCTTAAACCCTATCCCTAAGGCTCCAAGTACCTAATAATCATATACTTTCCAAAAACGTACCCTACTATCCGAAAACCAAGCTACCTTGTTATTGGGTCCGTTTAAAGACCCTTAAGGTACTGTAAATCCTTGCGCTTCAGACTTCAAACCTAAGGCTTTCAGTCCTCTCCCAAAGCTTCGAGCCTTGGATGCCTTTTTCAAACTGCGACCCTTCTGGTTAAGGGCTTACGTAAAGATTCACAGCAGGAAGCCAGCTGCCAGCCACCATCATGGACCGAAGCTGAAAAATGGAGGACCAGGAGTGGAAGCCTACACCCCCAAGAGCGACGGAGACCTGTTGCAAGAGGCACTGGCCTAAACCCTAAACCCTAAACCCTAAACCCTAAACCCTGAAACAGGGCTGCAGAAGGGTCTCAGTAGGCTAGAAGCCAGGGTCGACCAGGTCCCTGGAGGAACGGCCACCGGAGCGGGCTCTCCCGTGGCGGGACTTCGCCGACTGGACCCTAAACCCTAAACCCTAAACCCTAAACGAACTCTGAACCCTACCTTAAGAACCCCAAACCCACTTTTTTGCAGGTTCTTATTATAAACCCTACTATGGGATTTATAGGGACCCTACAAAAAAGTAGGCTTTGGGTTCTTAAGGTAAGTCTTCATCGCAAACTCACAGTCGCAAGAAGATCTGTCGTGGTCGAGCCTCGGTCTGTGCCCTGGTACTTTTTCTGGGGTTTCCAAGTTATGAAAGCTGAATCGTAGTAACACGGGGGCTATAGAAGCCTAGATGATGACAGGGCTCCTCAACCACAGTATACCCCGGCCCTAAAGCACGCTTCGAATTACTAAGGCTGTAACAACTTTACAATTTCTATGATACGGGGCAACACACGTTCACCACAGAAGAGCCGTCACAGTTCACCGCCCCATGGTCATTTCTTCAGGCCCCTGTCGTTTGCCAGCAGACACAACTGCCAGAAGGGCTAAATCCCAAGCCTACACCCCAGAGCTCCTGCCCTCTTCTAGGTCGGAGAGATCCTGAAAACTCAGCTCTAACTCTTAAGCCTAAACCCTAACCCTGAACCCCCAAAACTAAAGCTAAACCCTAAACCCTAAACCCTAAACCCTAAACCCTAAACCCCAAACCCTAAACCCTAAACCCTAAACCCTAAACCCTAAACCCTAAACCCTAAACCCAAAGGTAGCCCAAAGAGACTGGTGGCAGGCAATGGGCTATCTCTATGCACGCGCCCGGCCCTGAGCTGAAGGGTAAGGCTAAGGGCTTGAGAAGACTGTCTGGTGCTTAGTAGGGAATGGGGGAATGGATCCCCGATCGACCTATCCTTCAAAACCTGCTTGGAGGATCATGGGACTTAGTAAGTAAGGGTTTAGGGTTTAGGGTTTAGGGTTTATGATAGTTCCTTAAGGTCCCTTATAGTAGTCCCTGTAACCCATTCCCTACTAAGCACCAGACAGAAGAAGGCCCGTCCGACCTCGATAGCTCCGAGCTGCTAGGCTCAGGGTTTAGGGTTTAGGGAGATTAGGGATTAGGGTTTAGGGTTTAGGGTTTAGGGAGATTAGGGTTTAGGGTTTAGGGTTTAGGGAGATTAGGGTTTAGGGTTTAGGGGAAAGGGGCCTTAATTATGTACATGGCATTTGCTGGCATCCGGTATACCATAGTACACCTGTATGAGGACCACTGTATTGGGGGACACTGGTGCTACATGTTCAGACCGCTGCATGCGGGTGTGGGTGCTGTAGGGTTGGACGAGGGATTTATCAGCCTGGGGAAAGTTATCGCTTATGTCAAATACCAGTAGTGATCTTGGTTGTTATGACAAATGTCTGACTCTGTTCGCTAGCGGAGTCCTTATTTATTTTGGGGCGGTGTTGATTTGATTCGTTGTAACATTCAAAACGTGGCCGCTACAGCTCTTACTGTGGATGTCTCTGGAGGCCTGGGTTCCTCTTGAATGAAAAGCGAAGCCTCCCTCAACCCTGAGCCCTACTCCCTAAACCCTAGCCCGGGGCCGTTCAAAAGCACAGCCCAATCGCCCAAAACCCTAAACCCTAAAAGCCCAAAACCCAACATCCAAAACCCAAAAGCCCAAAACCCAAAACCCAAAATCCAAAACCCTAAACCCTGCACCCTAAGCCCTAAACCCTAAACCCTAAACCCTAAACCCTAAACCCTAAACCCTAAACCCTAAACCCCAACACCCTGTACATGTCCGCTGCTCGTTGTTTGTCCTGCTGCCCAAAAACCCTGGGCTCCCGGGCCGAAGCTGCTAACACAGGGGCCTTAATGATTACCTTTTAGAGTTTAGGATTTAGGGTTTAGGGTTTAGGGTTTAGGGTTTAGGGTTTAGGGTGTAGGGTTTAGGGTAAGGATCATGGGACTTAGTAAGTAGGGTTATAACTAAGGTAACTATACTTATAACCCCCAATTGAGGGACTTATAACCTTACTTACTAAGTCCCATGATCCTCCAAGTAACGATTACCTTTTAGAGTTTAGGGTTTAGGGTTGCCTATACTATTTTGGGGGTTCCTACCAGATACCCCAACACCCTACTCTAATTATAAAGGCCTCTACATTATCCTGTCTCCCACTGGGCTTAAGTTTGGGATTGGGGTTTGGGGTTTAAGTTTGGGGTTTCGGGTTTAGAGTGTAGCTTTTAGGACTTCGAGGGCTTTTGGGCTTTTGGGGGTAACAGTTTAGGTCTGTACCCTAATAAAGCGGCCTCTGCAGTAGAACCTTACCTCGCAGGTGAGCTCACGTACGTCCTAGGCCCAAGTCAAGGACAGGTGGGTAGTTACCGTTATAGGAGCCTTACAATAGAAGGCCTATATACCTTATAGAAGCCTTGTAGAAGCCCTATATACCCTCAACTCCCCACTTAACCAAGGCATCGAAACCTACCCGAACCGACAAAATGAACAACTCCCGCCAGACCCTGAGCCCTTAAACCGCAACTGCTCTAAATATTATATTTTCTTTGCTTTCAACCCCCTGAAGCGTTTTCGTGTGCTTTCTCCTTCTTGTGTGCTGGAGAAGACTTGTTATTCATTTCTTGGTGGTTTAAGAAAGAGAGAAGCGAGGTGCACAGATCCTTCGAGTTCGTGGCTTTGCGTATAGGTGCGTAGGGGGGTTCAGGGCCTGCTTAACCTAAGAGGCCTGAGGATTAGGTTTGCTTTTAGGTGAAGAGCTCTTGTTCAGTCGTTTCCACGCAATGCTCAAAATAAACCCTAAACCCTAAACCCTAAACCCTAAAGCCTGAACAGGTTTTGCGAAGTTCCATGTTTAGGTTTCAGGGTGACTGCAACGCCTGAACATGAAGCTCAGCATGACTTCGGTATTCTTCTTCAGAGACTTACAGTCAGTTTAGGGTTTAGGGTTCTTCTTCAGAGACTTACAGTCAGTTTAGGGTTTAGGGTTCTTCTTCAGAGACTTACAGTCAGTTTCGGGTTTAGGGTTTAGGATCCTTCTTCGGAGGCTTAGAGTCAGTTACCGCAATACGAGAAGGTTTAGGGTTTAGGGTTTAGGGTTTAGGATCCCCCGCCGAAATTCAGGAGCTTCGCAGACATAAAAAAGCACGAAGGCCATTAGCCGTAAACCCTGAGCCCCTAAACCCCAAAACCTCCTTGAAGCCCGACATGCATCTCCAAACTTATCCTATAAACTCCTTGAAGCCCGAAGACCTTTAAATTAGGGTTCAGGGTCTAGGGTGACTTACCCTATAAACTCCTTGAAGCCCGAAGACCCCTAAATTAGGGTTTAGGGTCTAGGGTTTAGGGTTGACATCCTAAAAATCGCCTCCCTCGCTTGGTGGACAGGCTGGTGCCTCTACGACCGGCCAACCGACCTCGCCGGAAATGAGTGCGAGGCAGCGCGTTTTATAAGAGGGCTCAGGGTTTAGGGTGGGGTGGTAATCCTTTCGCCATTGCAGTGCAATTAAAAAACCTAAAACTCCTCAAGCCCAACCCCTAAACCCTAAACCCGAAACCCCAAACCCTGAACCCTGAAAAGAACCCTGTAAACTCTTAGACCCTAAACCCTAAACCCTAAACCCTAAACCCTAAACCCTAAACCCTTGATTGCCA